TGGGGGGGTCCGAAAACCAGTCAGGATCTGGTGTGAAGGTAAGGGTTAGGATTAGGGTTAGGGTTAGGGTAATGTTGTGAATCGAGTGGCCTGTGTTTGTCGTCCATAACATAAGCCTGCCCAAACCATAACCCCACCACCACCATGGGCCACTCGATTCACAACATTACCCTACCCCTAACCCTAACTCCTCACACCAGATACATTTTAATTTTTTTGGCTTGCAAAATTATCTTTTAAATTGACAAACATCATATGTGTAATTCGTGGCACAATTCAAACGGGATCGAAACATAACTTTTCTCTCTCCATTGACTTCAATACATACTTTTTCCGAAATAAGGTCCCATGGAGGTCCCCCGGAAAGGGAGGGACTTCGCCTCTCTATGTGATTAACAGAGCCTTGTTTCATATTGCAAACAAACAACAATAACCCTTTTTTAAATATTAAACAGTGCAAGGAAACGTTGGAAGTAAATCTAGAAAGTAGCTACATAAGTTAGATAGAGAAAATGTGACTGATAATGTTTGTATTGGAGACATACTGATACGCAATGAGAGAAGGATCTCACCTCACTACAATAACACATTCCTCACATTCAGTGTTTTAGAAAAGTCACTGCAAATGGGTTTAAAGGTCCTAAATCTGCACAAGAGAAAACGCTCATGGACAAACGTTTTATTCTTGCAATATATCAGCAACATACATTTACAAGATTGTTGAGCCCTTATAGTTTTAAAGGTCAACACTTTCAGGATATCACAGTAAAAGAAAACTCTTTCCAGATGTCCGACGAGAGTAAAGGAGGTTAAATCTGGAGGACTTCCTCGGTTCGTTGTGTCTTTAATCTTGATTTACGGTCCCGTGTCTTCCCCCTCTTTTGCAACTTCTCCAGCTTCCTCTCCAAATTCCACGAGCATGTTGTAATCTGTGAGTTATCCATCCTCAACACAAAGAAAGAGAAAACCCCACTAAGTGAGCAGAAACAGGTGTCACCTCCGAAACAGCCGCTTATCCGACCTCCCAGTAAGCTCAGCAGCTAAACCGCCCCCCCGTGAGAGGTGAGCATGACATTAAAGGAAATGATAGGCTCGGTTAATGGCGACACGCTGCACAGAGGGAAGCGAGCTGTGTCTGTAAAATAAAGGGTTTAGCAGCCTCTTGTTGTGGCGCTCTGTTTACAGAAAGGGGCTACGGCTGAGATGATCCGTGACTTTGCTCCGGGTGATGTGGCGCGCATTCAAATGTTGCTGCGCTGCTTAAAGGAGAACAAGGAATAATGCAGGAGGGAAAGTTTACTGGGCTCCAGAGCAGGATGTTGCTTGTGTGTGTGTGTGTGTGTGTGTGTGTGTGGCCGAGCATTACTATCCTTGTGGGGACCTAAATCTGTTTACACAGTCACGTGTGGGGACTCGCCTCCCTTATGGGGACATGTGTTGGTTATGGTTAAGGTCAGGATAAGTCTCCAGGAAATGCATGTAAGTCAATGTAATGTCCCCTGAAGTGATGTATACATGGTNGTGTGGCCGAGCATTACTATCCTTGTGGGGACCTAAATCTGTTTACACAGTCACGTGTGGGGACTCGCCTCCCTTATGGGGACAAAATGGAGGTCCTCATGAGGGGAATCATTAATTTTAGGGCGAAGACTTGGTTAGGTTTAGGGTAAGGGTTAGGCATGTGTTGGTTATGGTTAAGGTCAGGATAAGTCTCCAGGAAATGCATGTAAGTCAATGTAATGTCCCCTGAAGTGATGTATACATGGTNTGGTGTGTGTGTGTGTGTGTGTGTGTGTGTGTGTGTGTGTGTGTGTGTGTGTGTGTGTGTTTACTGTTCTCAAGAAAAGACAATGTTGGCTGCCTCGTGCAAACGGACAAAACTCTTACGTTAGGAGAAATGTACTGCAGCTTCAAAAACGATGTAAATATAAAAACACAAATGGGCCAGAACACATGCAAATGAAGAAACATCTTCACCAACTTCACAACACATAGCAGCCTGTAGAAAATGTTCACCAACTTAAAAACATGCTCAGGGTTAACTAAGAGTGCTGCATAAACAAAACACTTTAAAAACAAAGCTTTTTAGAGTCCCTGTGTCCGTTGTGTTTTGAGCTTCTTTGAGCAAAATAGTTAGTTAGCCTGTTTTAATAATTGTAAGTGTTTTCTCAGTATATTTGAAATGACGAGGTTAGCTACGTTAACTAGCTAGCTTACAGCAGATCTGCAATTATATAAGAAGGAAACACGTGATCACGTTTAGAAAATAAACAGATAAAACTTACATTTTAGGTGCGTTTCTAACAACAGTAGCACAAAAAAATATGTTCAACAAAAAAATTATAGTGTTCTAAGTTTGCCCACCAATGTAACAGTTGACCAATCAGAGCTCCTCTTTCGGTTTGACATTTAATACATTTTCAGGTGACATATATTTAAATGAAGGCAAAACAAAAACAGAGAAAAAACAAATTCATTTTGAGATAAAGTTTGTTTTAGTTATTACAAAATTGAAATTAACTGAGAGGCATTTAAAATTACTTTCGCAATTACCTATTAAAATTCAATTATTGCTTTTATCATTTAAAGGCAGAACAGGAGATTATAATCATCAAACAACAACAATTTTCGAAGACTTATTAATGCAGAATTGAAATGCAAATTAAGTTTTTCAATTTATAAAAGCATCTTTTTATTCATTTGGTGTAATGTGTCGTTAATAAAATGGCACTCTTTGGTCTCCATACCTGCAGGCTTCTTGAAGACGTACCTGCTTTTAGTTTCCGAATGCAAAGCAGCACCAACACTCATGTAGACTATTTATAATTTTCCACAGGCATTATAAAAACCTGGCCAAGTGTCACAAGCATGATGCCGTGATGAAAGCTTTGACGCCGAAACACATTAGCCTGATGTTTACCGTTAAAAAAGACCTGATTTAATGGAGGTTAATTCTTGCACTGGAGGGCTGCCATCCCATCTATCACGCAGGTTTCTGGATGTCAGTGTGCAGCTTTTGGCAGAGCGGAACCAGGCAAAGGTTGTACAAGGAGGATCACCTGTAAGAGCGTTTTTTTTATTGGTGAGAGATCAAAGTGTCTCACCGAGGTAATGGAAAGATTGTGGTTGTGTAGATGGAGCCAAGAGAAACAAGCCCGTCAATTAAAGGAACTTCTGCAGGCGGACAAACACATGGGGGTGCATACTGATTATTTCATGGATCATTACACTGAGAAAGAAAACTAAATCTGGTCGATGCTAACAATAGCTAAAAAACGTTTTTTTTTGTTTTGTATAGCACACATAATGTTTAACATGCTCACAGTCTTAGCTTAGCGTGTTTGCATGCTAACACTAGCTACTTAGCACTTAGGTATAGCCAGTTTTGCAGGTATACATGGTCACTCATTATAAACACCATTAGGATATATCCTCTGGGGACCATTGTGTGATGGGCTGTTGGTGAAATAAACACATGGTTAGCGTTGCTTATGACATAAATCAAGACAAAAACCCAACTACTAATATAAGTTTAGTAAAGGATCATGTATCTCATTACAGAAAATAAGTATGTTTGAAATGTCCTTTATGTTTTGGATTTAAGATTTTAAATGTCACTGTTGACACAAAGACTCTTCAATATGCAAAAACAAAATCCAAGACAATTTACTCTGTTAAGAAGACATAGTAGAACAACAAAGGCCCTAGTCAAACTTTATTCATGTAACTGTGCTTTTGGGCAACAACAGCATCAAAGAATCATTCTAATAGACTTACGAGATGAAGCTCAGATTCACAAACTGACATTTAGTAAAGTAAAGGGGCACTATGTATGTTCCACATTTTAGCAGAATTTGAATTCCAATGTAAAGAGGATCAAAACAGTGGAAAGACATCCTGTATATCCCCGCCTGTGAGTGCCAACCAGCCTCACTAATGCAAACCCCGGTGTGTTTCCTCAGTGCAACTTAAGCAAAAGCTCCGATGGTCGAATCTGTCCGAGGCATGATGACACAGTTTTCTGACTGCACAACCCTCTCTAAAGTTATCTCTCTTATTCAAATACTACAAAGTCAATAACGGATAAAAAGTCAAGATGTGCCAAAGGGATTTCTCCGAGTCTACTTCTTGTCATCAGATCAGTTTCTTCCAACACCGGTAGGCTTTAATGCATTAATGGTGTTTGGTTAGGCTGTCACCTTTGACCCCTCTGAACAAAAACAGTAGCAGTGAGCGGCTCAGCAGATCCGCTGTGAGGGACAATGGGAACAAAGCTGGACTTAATAACAGGAAACAGTGATGTTCAGGGAGATTACCTCGGTGTGTTTAACAGATCACTCACACAGGTTGTTGCAGAAAAGCCAGTTACGATTGTGCCACAGCTTAATGTGGTTTCATGTCATTTATCATATTTTTTGTGTCCATGAACCCCTGTTGGACTCAGAAGAAGACATCAGCTGCCAGACCTGACAGATATGACATTTGTCAGACTCTCTTCTGCTTAATTAAACCATTGTTTGATGCGGGTTTAAAGCCAGGGTTGAGGAAAGAAAAAGTAAACAGACACAAGTTGTAAACAGGATGGAACAGCCTTCCGTTTTATTCTAAATTTGATATGTACAGGAAAAAAGTGGCTGCATACATTTCATAATATATCATGTAAAAGTTCGCAAAAACAATTGCACATCATCAGCGTCCATTTTCTTTTTATACTTTAAAACACGTCATGTTACAGCATGGTTGAAGGCAATGTCAAACGGGATACAAATACACTGATAACCGCTCCTAAAGTGTTGGCTCTCGTACATAAAATAAAAAAAAAAGCTTCAGGAAGGAGTACCCCATCGAATGACACATTATCATATGATATTAAAAATGTCTAAAAATCACACTGTAGTGTCACTGACAAACAAATCACATCGTGTCCCTCTTTGTGTAAAATATCGTGATATATATCAGGCACTTATCGATATCACGCCCCGTGGTTTGTGACGTTTTGAGCAAAAAATCCTTCGAAAGGTGCTTCTGCCATCGAGACGCCCCGAGTGTTCACAGCACTTTTTCTGAGTGGAGATATGTTTTACCCTCAACTACACTGCTTTTATTATTTGGTTACAGTTTTCATCAGCCCCATATTGCGTTCGTGTCATCTTACCTAAAAACATACATATGCAGAAAGGATTTGTTAGTTTAGCTTATAACTTTCCTCGGGTTAAAATACAGGTTTAAACACCGGAAAATGCCATTAAGGTAATTTGTTCTTCATCTTCTTACTTTCATTTAGTACCCCTACTCAGCCCTGTAGCTTTCCCAGCAAGGGGCTTCATTAACCAATAGGAGATAATGCATGTCATGCGGCTTCGCTCTGCATAGGGAGTGTAGGAGTGAAGGGCAATTAGACACCGCCTGTTTGTTTCCCACAGCTTGATGATGGCCGTCTTTTTTTTGTTTTGTATTTCCCTTTTGTTTTAAGTTTCACCTCAGCTCGATCTCATTTGTCTGCTCACAGGCAGAGAGAATAATGTCACAAACATTAGGGACTTCAATGCGGGGAAGGTTCAGACTCAGAGAATCGGTTGCCACCTACTGCAACAATTAAAGTGGTGGGATGGTGGCAGGGATTTTAAAGCGTGTGTCATCAATTCCCATGTTTTTTTTTTCTGAATTCAAACTACAGCACACAGTGGGCTAGCGTGAATCAGAATTAAAAAGTAACTGGTTTAACCCAAAGAACAGAAATTCAGATCGTTTTTCAATTTTTTTTTTAGATTGTCTCGACCCTATTAAAGTGGAGGTTAGTTAACATTTCATTTGTGGTCCTCATAGCATAAAGCAGATTCCAAACATAGCATTGTCTCTTAGAAGTGTCCTGTTTTAGGCCCAGTCAAGACAGCATTTATCAAATCTTCCAGGCAATTAAATCTGTGTGAAACTTTGGCACCGCAGGTTGAGCTATTACCACGCAATTCTTTTTAAAAGGAGGAAGCTAATTATGCTACCTGGCTGTGATTTTTGTACAACTCTCTGTAGCATCAACTGCTCCACAAAATAGGAATGATAACTACACAGAAGTTGATGCATCCAAATACTTATTTAGCAGTGAGAGCCTACTGTGCTGTCAGTGACAAAGGTAACTGACCGCTGACTGACAGTTAGCAAGCTAGCCAATTCAGAGAGCTATTGTGACTGCTAGCAATGTTCTGGCGGGCTAATTAGCCCTTCGATTAAGTTACTAAACCTCGGTTTTAGGTTGACACGCGGCGAAAAAAAACATAGGTAGGATTCTAATCTTTATTGCCTCTCTTTCTTTCTTTTAAAATGTCTGGAAGAAAGCAGTTCTAGTAATTTTTGGGAGAAGAGTGTCGGCTAAATGCTTAAAAAGGTAAAAATACAGAAAGCAATTACAGCAATTGAACGCAATTAACTCCTGAGGACAATTTCACTACCCTTTTGTTAAAAAACAGGAGATAAGCTCCAGCTAATCTCACACTGGCAGGCTTATTGTCTCGCTACCCATCTTTATTCTGGATTTCTTTTTTTTGCTGCTGCTTTTATTCCTCCCTTTATGTCAGAAGCCGGGCCCTCTGTCGGTTCCTCTGGTGGCAGCGCTCGCTGGCTCTGGCAGGCAGCAGGTGGCTTGTGATGAAAAATTCAGTGCAGAGCCTGACTCGGGAGACGTGGGGAGGAGGGGGGAGGAGGAGGAGGAGGGTGGTGGGAGGGAGGGGGAGGGGACGGGTGATATGAGAGGAAGGTGGGGAATGAGCGAAAGAGGAGAGGAGGATAAAGGTGGGGGTGTTGAGGTGGTAGAAGAAAGAAAGGTAACAAACCGAAAGGCGACAAGAGGAGGAAAGCAAGCCAGAGATCCAGACAGAGAGGCAGGCGGGCCAGCAAGCAAGCCCAGAGCGGAGCAGGGGGGCCAGGCAGAGGATCAGAGCTGTCTACCCTCAGCCTGGGTCTCCTCCACGGAGATAACACACGGTATGAATCATTTATGAGGGGGGCTTTTTATTAATAACACACACACACATACTGTGCCCTCCTTTTTTCATACACTTTGCCTTGTTTCCTCTTCTCCCCGGGGAGCACTCGAGTGAGAGATGCTCGATCGCTGAGGAGTCGAGCAAACAGAATGCGGAGGACAAGTATCGGTGCGGGTTGAGCGTTAAAAGAAATGAATGGAACGTGATTTGTGACCGACGGGACGAGTCGTCCACGGGACGCTTTGAAAAGCCACGACGCACGTTCTTGATGGTGAAACATGTAAGTTGTCACATGCCCACACATAAACCCACAGAAGGTAACGCCTCGCCATGGGCTCAGAAGAACGCCCACTCCCTCGCCTGTCTGCCCATTTGATTGTCAGAACACGGTGCTGCCAGACCTCGATGAATCAGAGTCCTGGACAAATGTGAACATGCATTGTGTTTGTGAATGCAGAGAAGGCACTGAGCGTCTGTAGGAGGCTGACTGACTGACTGACGGGTTTAGGTCATCGGCACAGTGAGGGATTTAACACGAACACCCACATACTGAGCACACATCTGTTTACCTCTAAGATCATCGCTAGGCTATAAGACCTCTAGGTTGTCCCTTTTTGTAGCTGCTGTTCCTTCAAGGTAATCCCCTTAGCTCCTGTAGCAAGTTCTCTGATCAGCATTTCGTCCATTAGTCCAAGAATACTCCTCAAGAATAAAAAAGCCTTCCTTTTTCTGAACCGATTCTATTAAGCCTTGCTAACTGCGAAGGTGAGGGCGGCACATCATGGCGGTACGGGCCCTTGGGGGAGGCTGGGTCCTTCAGGTGTGCTGAGGGGTATCCTTCATAGCTGCTGCTAACGATGCTCTCCTGCATTAACTTCCCTTTGGCTTCCTGCTCTCGCCGCCTCTGTTCCTGCCTCAGGAGCTCCTGGGCCTCCAGAAGGACGCGTGCGTTGACGCCACCCCCCCCAGGGTAGCCGTTCCTGGATCCCTGGTAGCTCGAGTACCGTGGGTTGTCCTTTGCCGTCTGGAAGACTTCGCCAGGAGGGTAGGCTTTGTCCCACGAGTCCTGGGAGACGGTGCTGGGGTTCTTCCTGGGTTGCCTGGTGTGGAAAGAGGGAACAAGAGAGGAACATGTCAGATTCGGTGTTATATGACTCCTTGAACCCCTAACCCTAACCCTAACACGGGCCAGTGTGTAGTGAAGACGCTTACATTTCATTAAGCCAACACTCATCCAACGCAAGTAACAATTAATGCAATCAACCATAAAGATACCAACTTAGAACATTAAGAAACATGTACATGTAGGCATATTTGCTTTTTTTCAAATGGGCTAAACCCTTTATGCGCACATATTTTTTTAAATGTGTGTTGGGTTTAATGGCCATGGTACAAGTGCGTTTTCAGTCTGTGACGGGAAATGTGTAGCCTTCCTGCTGTCCTTATATCAATGGAGAGCTTGTTCAACCGTTTTAAACCCTCTTAGCCACATATTGTCCTCCGGTGTGGTAGGAACAATCTCACCACCAACAAAAATATTAGTTTAAAGACCATTACCTCTTGGGATAAGCCTTTGTTTTTGTATTTCTGCTGAAACGTGATTATACTGTCAGCCATATGGTAGCCAAGTATCACATTTAATACAAGTAAGACACCATTACAGCCTCACAAAGCGCCTCTGGGCAAGTATCAGCCCACGGTAAAAAGAGACAGGGATAGCTAACCATGTCAAAGTCCCCTTCCAGCCCATTAGCTCCATTTCGAGACAGACGGAAACAGCCATGGGATCTGACAGATAGTAACTGCAGGCCCTCCGCAGGTGGATAAATGAGGCGACCATCTTGTCCACTTTGGATTGGGTATAGAATTCGATATGTGACGGCTGACACTTGTCTTAAAGGCACGGTTGGTTGTTATGCTTCAGAGGACCTGCCCTGCAGATGTGTGACATCACCTCTCATTTCTGCTTGGCTAGCCTCTTTGTGGCAGCGCTGCCTTTGTGTATTAAGTGTGTAGTAGTTTGTAAGTGTGTGTGAGTCCATACGATATGCATGAGTGTCCAAAGCCCCACAGCTCCACCCATTCATCTCGAGGGCATGGCAAAAGGAGAGCAGCGAGAGAGGAGGAAGACACACGAAAACATCAATTGGCTTTTGACTCGGAGCCATGCATAATTAGCAGGTTTATCAGCCAGCTGTGAAGAAATCGTATCATTGTTGTGTTTGGATTTGAGTAGGAAGGAGAGAAAGAAAAACCCTTAATGAGAATATAAAATGCCTTTGTTTTTATTCAACTGAAATTGAATGCAATTGGGAATGGATACGCTCCCCGATCGGTGAGATAGGAGAATATAGCCCAGGTTTATTCTTCCACACGGTTGACTGATTCCAATTTTCAGAGACAGGCGTCCTCGGCATCTGATTTCATTTCATATGTTGACAAAGAGGCCAAAGCTGGTGTGCCTCCCTGCTGAGAAATGCAAACCAGATCACTCCCTCTGTCTGATGCCGTGCCAAGGGGGGGAGCATGTACATGTGTGTTAAATGCAGAAAGATGTACACGGCTCTGTATTCTTTACATGCACACTGTGAAGCATGACGGATGATAAAACAGAAAGGGGGGAAAGGTGACAGAGTGAGATTGAGGGGGAAAAGGGAGACTTTGTGAGAGGTTGCAGAGCGGGGCATAGAGACATGTGGTTGTGACATGCATGTGAGAGCAAATGCCACTGCAGCTGTTGAAGTCAACCTCTGGTCGCCATAGTGACATCGCTTTGGCTCTGAGATCAATGGTGCTCGTCGGTGATGGATCTGAAGGCCCTTCATCCGGCCGTCATTGTTTTGAATGGCAGTGGTTTATATTCACTCAGCTCCCTGTTTAGGAGAAGGGTCTCACCCAGAAGGAAACTGACCTTTATCTAAAAATGAAACCTGTTTTTAAAGAATGTTAAAGCCATAAATCACGTCTCCATTCACAATCCACTCATGAAGAACACCGCCTTGCATGAACAACATATGAATCCCATCAAGCCTGTGATCCGCTAAACGCCATATTTACTCTATGTCTCTGATTTCACTCAATGGTATGCTCTACGTCAAACAATAGTTAGTGTTCTCAAGATAGTACAGCGGGGGTTATCCAAACAGAACAGTCTCTTAATGGAATTAGCGGCAGAGTGAAGGAACGTGGCCACAGGATGTTGCTTCTGACCGTTGGAGCGAGACTGGAGTTCATTAATCTTTCAGCAAAGCCGCCTGCAATATTTATCAAGGAAGGGATTTGCGTCGATAACAGAGGCTTAGGAGTAAGATGGTGAAGTCATAGTAGATACAGTTTCTAATGTTGTATGTATTGTGAGTGCAAGTTGATGAGCGTGCACCAGGACACGTCTGCTTGGTTTGACTATGGCGGGTGTTTGAGGATTTCAAAGAGTAATTACTGACGGCTTAGGGAAACATAATAACTTTGATTAACATTTCCCCCTGGACAGTTCCTTCCTGAACTGACTGAATAATACAAAATATATCTTCTTCTGGACCCTGAGGAAAACAAGTGTGCCTTAAAGGGGCCCTTTTATGCTCATTTTCAGGTTCATATTAGTATTTAGTGCCTCTGCTGTGCCATGTTTTCATGCTTTAAAGGTCCCGTGTCATCGCCATTTCTACTGATCATATTTCCATTGTTGAGGTCGACTAGAATAGATTTACAATGTTCCAAACTCACATTGGTTTCTCATGTATGGGAAACCAATGTGAGTTTGGAAAATTGCACAATATAAATGTGTATTCACTCTCTGTCCTAAACGGCTTGTTGGAGCTCCGCCTCCCCCCCTCCCTGTGATCCCGCTGCGCGCTGATTGGTCGGGACGTTGCAAGGCTCGCTGTTCAATGATCATGGCTTACTGGTGTGGTTTCCGGGTCGGCGATACAGCGCGAAACTCATCCCGAGCACACACAAACACTCACAGCCGAAGTAAAAACAATAAGTGTGGTTTGATATTGAGTAAGAAAAAGGTTTGTTACGCTGTGAGTAGGGGTCTGCTGCGGAGAGCATTTCTCCGCCATCCCAACTCGTCTGTTACCAACCAGGGAGCTCTATGCAAGTCAATGGGACTCCCTGTTAGTTGAACATTTAAGCTAAAGGTCTTGGTGTGTGAGGGGCTCCGCGGATTGGTCCATTTTGGTTCCCGGAAGAAGCAAATGGAAAAAGAGAAATGTCCAACGAGGCGTTCTGGGGCAGCATAGACAGGTCTTCTCTGTGTTAGAGTTGTACTCGCTACAGGGTGTACTTTGAGGGTTTGTGACTCTGCAGACCGTTTACATGCAGAGAAACCTTCATAACACACAAGGGGACGGGTAATAACGGGACAAGCNGGGTGTCAGATCATGTAGAGCCAGGTGTTGTCTATTGTCTTTGAAAGGTTCATCAAAGGTTCACTCTGGAAGTAAAATAGTTCACATCTAAACATAACCGACGAAACATAATAGACTTTGAGGCATAATCTAAGCCATATGTTCATTATCCAAAATGTCCCCATATCTCCAATAAGTCCCCACACACACACACACACACACACACACACACACACACACACACACACACACACACACACACACACTTACTTCCTGGAACAACAGGCAGTCATATCACGCAGATCAAAGGGAATTACATTAAGGGAGAGGAAAGCAATCATGTCATATCTGTGTGAGAGGGTAACATGATCCGTGGCTGTGTGTGTGTGTGTGTGTGTGTGTGTGTGTGTATAGGTGTGTGGTTTGAAATTGACCACCTGTGACCCTCTTTTTTACTCGTATATAATCTGCTCTCATGACTGTAATAAGCCACAGTGAATGTGACATAATCAGACAGGCGTGCACAGGCGTGAGCGTACACACCAATCACTTCTCGAGATACATTACGTTAAATCACAGATCTAAAATAGATACAAACACAGTCACAACCTCCTGGACACATCTTACATTAGACAGCAGGAACACGAGAACACACATATCTCCTATAGCAACACATATTGATTGTAAGACAGACAGAAACAAACATGTTGGGAAAATACTGAATGTCCTCTTCCAATATGAGAGTCCACATGATAACAAAGGTATCCCAACTGTAGCTGTGAACATGACAGGATGTGTGATTACCTAGAAGAGCATCAGGACTGGTTGAGGCATATGATAGCTATGTGATTAACATGATGATTCAGCCTCTATGGAGAGAGACATATGACAAGCATGATCATTTCTGACGTGGAGCTAATCTGAAGTAAACATTGAATACTGCTTTCTATTCCTCCATCTTGTGACTGTGGAACTCCCTCTCTTGGATATCAGCATGTGAAGGACACTGTTCAGGAACTAGTTGATGCTCTGTATGTGATGACTCCTTCCATTCTGGAGAGGATCACAGATACATGGATCCTGAGATTCAAGCTCAAGCCGGTAACGAGTGATTATTAGCATTTTTAAGTATTCAGAAAAAGTCAGAATTTTGAGATTTTGAGAGAAAGTCCAAATTTTTAGAGAAAGTTAGAATTTTGAGAAAAAGTCAGAATTTTGAGAGAAAGTCCAAATTTTTAGAGAAAGTCAGAATTTTGAGAAAAAGTCAGAATTTTCAGATTTTTTAGAAGTCAGAATTTTTTGATTTTTTAAAACGAGTCAGAATTTTTAGAGAAAGTCAGAATATTTTGATATTTTGAGAAAAAGTCAGAATTTTTTGAGAAAGTCAGAATTTTGAGATTTTGAGAGAAAAGCCAACATTTCATGAAAAAACTCAGTATTTTGTACATTACACTGTTGTATATCAGCATGTGAAGGACACTGTTCAGGAACTAGTTTTACCAAATGCTCTGTATGTGATGACTCCTTCCATTCTTGAGAGGATAATAAATACATGGACCCTGAATATTCAAGCTCAAGCCGGTGACGAGTGATTATTANAAAAAGTCCAATTTTTGAGAAAAAGTCCAAATTTGAGAAATTGTCAATTTTTAGAAAAAGTCATAATTTTGAGAGAAAGTCCGAAATTTGAGAAAAAGTCATAATTTTTAGATATTTTAGAACAAGTCATAATTTTGAGAGAAAGTCATGATTTTGAGAGTGAGTCATAATTTTGAGATTTTGAGAGAAAGTCAGAATTTTTAGATTTCAGAAAAAAGCCAACATTTCGAGAAAC